TTCTTCATCTGCTTCCACGGCCGGAAAGACAACTACAGGCGAAGACAAGCGGGGCGATGATGTTGCAGAGAGTGCATACAAAATACAGATCAAAATCCCGATTGCTGTAGCCGACTCGAAAATAGTAAGTGCATTTTGCGCTGGAATTCCGCACTTTTCCTCTTTTTTATTATTTACTCGAATTATGATAGCGTAGAGAGTTCACAGATTAAGAATTTGCTTTCTCTGGACTCGAAATGATTTTTTTTTTCTTTTGGGATTCCGATTCATCATCGAGAGATTTGGCAATGGGCGATCAACCTGAATCGTCGCCGGATCGAGCTTCCTCTGTGAATGAAACGAATTTGGTGACAAATCCAAGCGAATATTTAGATCCGATAACCCGTGATGTGGAGAGGCGTATGAGCATGAAAGGACATCAGCAAACTTCTGGAGGGTCAGTGCTTTTCATGTTGGTAAAAGAAAAAATTGCTTTTGGATGTCTACATTTCTGATGGAGAATCAACTGCTGGAGGGGTGGGAAAAGGGGGTGGGGGGGGGGACACTCACTCATCTACGATTTGTTTAATCGTTTCGATGATAAACCAGTATTGATTTATGGCAGGGAGTCAAATCTGTCATCAGTTTACTTATAACTTGAAGAGAAATGCGGTTTTACCAGCGAGTGGTTGCGATTAGCATATGCCAACAATTTTGCCACTTTCAAGCGCTTTCACCTCACTCAAAATAAACTGCGGGAAATTTTAACTTTTGATTTTAGCTTTAAATGTTTTAAAATAATTTTCCAAATGTGAGTGTACCTATGTGTTTTAATGTTAATGGTACTTGCTGTAGCTATACGTGAATTTACATTGTTTCACCTTCTCTGAATTCGAGAATAGCACCAGTATGCTGTTTGTTGAAGCATTCATTTTTAATTCGTAGTTAAATTTTTTATCTTTCCTTACTCTCCTCTCTTCCTCCTTTCTTCTTTCTTCTTCCTTACACACGGCGACCGTCATACTGGCGAGGTCCAGTCGCAATGTGGAGTTAAGACGTATACGACTTAATGAACAGAAACGTCTTAGCTCACTCTGCCTTTCTTGCATTTGCGCACCCTACCGTCTGCGCTTCCAGAATTGACCTGGAAGCTGCAACCTATTAGGCCGAACAAACCGTTGCAATATTTCAGATCGGAGAGTGGTCCTTCGTCAAGTTCGGCGCAAACATCGAGTGGTCTTGGCCGTGCCGCAGTGTTTGTGAAAGGATACGGAAGTTATGCGTCTGAGCTGTTCCGAGGTGCCTTCTTGCGAGCCAAAAGCGCCGTCTCGATGGGGTAATTTCCAAAATTTTTTTAAATTTCCATTCTGTATCAGTTGAAATTGTAATAGCTATAAAGAGATGGTGCTGGTAGCTTCCTTCACTGAAAGATTTTAAATTCAGCCCCCAGGTATGCGCGTTTTCCGTGTATTGCTCCGTGAGGGTTCTTGGCGCGAAAGCCGCTAGCTTGAGAACCAATACCGATTCGCATGCAGTTCTTGCTGGTGTCGTCTGAGGTGGTCTGAGGTGGGAATTAGCCCGATCAATTTTGATTTTCTACTAATCAGCTGCTGTGTGGAATGGCTCAGACATAATTCTT